GACATTCCCATCTTCCCTTCTTCTTCGTCTAAACCCCATCTTCTTCGTCTGTGTATGGTTGGGACTGGCGCAGTCTTCCTGTGTGAAGCGCCAGACCCCTTCACACCATGGAATGATGATGATGATGTATGTTTGGGGCTGCATTGCAATATTGATTGTTCGGATCATTGGTATCTAAGTCTTCCGCTGTGCTATTTTATACTTTGTATTGAAAGGTCGGTTCTTGTTCTGGTCTGCACCTATACGGTATGCAACACTAACCCACCCTTGAGCCAACTGTCGTCGTAGAAGTTCAGCAGATCCTCCCCTAGAAGCGGCCATAACTTTTCCCAGAATTCTTTCGTCAGCCTGTCGGTCCCAGGTGACTTGTTGTTATTCATACTCTGGACTGCAAATTGCAATTCCTCCAGAGTGATGGGCTTGTCGAGAGATTCTGCTTGCTCTTGTGAGCATTTCCTTTTCTCGGTTTCCCCTTTTTGAAAAATCTACCCCCCTTCTGTAAGGGAAATCCTGTGAGCAACAAATGGCCATTAAACATTGCCGAGGCTTTCTATTAGGCTGATAATAAAAATCAGATTCCTCAGACTCCAAGTTTGTTTTTTACCAACCAAAAAATCTCAGGATGGATAGGCACAGAGCAAGAAATAGTGTTTGTAACTTTCTGTAACTTCCATCACTTCAGTTTTTTGAACTTTTTCCAGTTTTTAGTGTTTTTCAAGTTTTTGTCCTTTCGCATACTTGGACCAATACTGCCTTCAAAGTTCAAACCCATTTCGCCAAACCTCTCTATTGTGTAAGGCTGGTCTTGCTGAGCTTGAGCGGTAACGGCAAAATATGGCAGGTGCAAAGAAGAACTATAGCCACCAACATAAACCATCGTGATTGTCATCAGACAGCCATGCCGGTTTTTCAAGGTCGCCCCAGGCGACCACTGTGAAACAAGAGGTTCGGTGCTGTCAGAGGCAGTGGTGATTTAATAAAGACTCTATTAAAGAGGTATGAAAGAGTGCAGTGCACTGACCTTGATGTAGGGCTCAGTGCGAACTTCCACGCCGAGGTTGTTTCCTCCTCCACGCATTATGAGGTGGAACAGTCTGTTTGCATCATCCCAAAAGGACGTTCCATGTGGGTGATTTCGACCAAGAACTGGTGGTGTATTCAGATCTTGCAGGCGCCCACGGTCCGGAAGCCATGAGAACCTCCTGTCGCTATCAAGGTATCTGATTCGCAGAAGAACTTCCTGCATTTACAATTATCCAAAAGTTGACAAAGAGAGGGAAACCTTAGAGCATCCTCACTTGCAGAATTTGCAAAAACCAAAATTATTTGTGCCTCTTCTTCCTCTTCTTCCCTCTTGTTTTGTTTTGTTTTGAGCAAACAGGGGCCCCTTGTTCTGACTCCATTCTATTCTGGGGGGGCATCAGTCCTGGTCCTTTACCATCGGAAAGTAGAAAAAAAATTACAGTTATACCCTCTCCACGTTTCCCCTCGTTTTGGCCCGAGGAACCCCATTGGTTGCTCCCAAGTGGAAAGACCAAACAGCATGGATCGCTCACAAGTGGGAGGATTGACTATTAGGTAAGCCCATTCAATTTGTTCAAAAGGCCCTCCCTCTCTCTCTACTATCCTCTTAAAAAAATCTCAAAATCAGAGTCTGACTCTCCCTCTCAGCCTACCATCAGGCTGTGTAGCATGCAAGGGGCTCCTTCATGGGCCCTAGCCCCCTGACGACACGACCCCTCTTTGGGAGGCTGTGGTACAGAGGTTGGGCCATGGATGTTTCTTTTGAGGCCTAGAGGTTTGTCCTTTTGTTATCTTGTCTGATCTGATATTTGTTTCGTTCTTTTTTTTTTGTGTGTGTGTGTATTGCTGGAAACCGGGTCCAGCATTCCTTACATCAGATGAACACACCCAACGCATCTGTGCGTTATGGTCGAGAGATCATGAGACAGCGACATTGTTTGCTTCCCAACTGGAAGCATTTACCACTGCCCCACCCCTGCTTTTCATAAATTGCTGCAACTACTAGGACTAAACCTGATCTTGACAGCATTGATCACTTTCCTTTGCAAGGAAAACCAATCGATGAGAACCCCAATCTTCTGGAAGGAGTGAGGGTGGAGGGGGCAGAAGTCTCAGACATGATTCGTCATTTTGTCCAAACGGAACTGCTGGCAGGATGGAAAAAAGTGGAGGAAAAGGTTCAGTTTTTCACACAAAGAAAGATATTCTAAGAGAACTTCACAAATTGGGCTCAGAATGGCTGGGGGGGGAAAGAGGGGGTTGGATGGGCCATGCGGAATGGCCAGGGGAGGGCACAGGGGACACCTTCCTCGGTAAGGACTACCCCCCCGACTGAGTCAGTCATTGTCAGTCAATCCCCTGGGGACCCCAGGGCAATCAGCCGAAGTGACACTAATTAATTTTCATCTCCTAACGTGTTTCTGGTTATAACTGTTGCAAAAGGGGACACTGGACCCGTTTTCCAGCAGGTGCGGCTCCCCGCCAATAGACCGGAGCACCCCAGCCGGGCTAGTATGAGGAGATGCTCATACCCACTCCCCACAGTTAGCCCCAAAGTCGGTGTCTGTTTTTTTTTTTTTTTTAAGAGTTTTCCTCCTTAGCTTTCACTGGTCTGGACTTCAACGTATGTGCAATTTGGGATATGAAAGGTGCTGACGTGGAGTTGCATCTGTGGTGAAAGAAGGATTGATGGGTGTGTTTGCAGGGTAAAGTAATGATATCTGTCGATCACCACTGAATTCTCAAAAAAAAAGAAATAATTACCTGGGAGCCTTTTCTTGTTGCATACAACCTTGAGAAAATGTACAGAGTGGCTGACCTTTCCTTTTAAAAACAAACAAACAAACAAACAAACAAACAAACAAAGAAAGCTCCATCTACTGGTGGGGAGCTGCACCTGCTGGAAAACGGGTCGAGCGTCCCTCACATATGACAAAAGTTTGAAAAACCAGATAATGAAAACAGCAAGAAAGGTTGAACCAGCACCTCTTCACCCTTCTTGGGCGCCAGATCCTACTGTATCCTCTAGCACTGATTCCCTTAACAAAAAAGGGGGGAAGAAACTTTGACTATCCAAGGGAGGCAGAGTGTTTCAGATCTTGTACTTAAATCACTCACTCCAAGCCATACCAACTCAAGGGAACCAGACTCAAGGATGATGGAGGGAAAGGGTCTGGGAATTCAGATAAGGGACAAAGGGGGATAGAGGGGTCCACAGTAGTCCAATCATGAAAGATCAATCGGTAGTCTCTTGTAAAATCTTCTGATCCTTCTTCCTGATTTGCCTGACTCTCTTCCCTTGCCCCTGTCCATTTAATTTCTCTCAAGCCCCTTCCTTGGGTTCCCCCTAGCCAGTCATCGCTGAATCTCTTTTGGGGGCTAAGTTCTGAAAATGAAGAACCATAGAATTGATATCTTGGGACTGGGGGGCGCAGCGCTACCGGGAGCGCTGCGCCCCGGCAGTATCAATCATCAATCAAAGTCACTGCCACGGAGCCGCGCGCGCTGGAAATCTGTACGCAGCAAGGAAAATAGCGCACGCGCGCTCGACGATTGCGCGCGATTGGGCACGCGCCCTGAGCTGAAAATTGGACCACCGGTGGTCTATGTCGAGGAGCTGAGGTGGTCCAAATTTCAGATCAAATGGTCAAGTGGATCATTAGATATCGAAGATTTAGGGCGCGCTATGAAATTTGAGTGTGGAATTGCTGAGTGGCGCGGGGGCTGGATCTTCAACGAACGTGGTATGCTGGGCGAAGCTGTGAGATGATCGAGGGGGTGAATACTTCACCTCTCTATCTCCTAACATTTGAAAGCATTCGTAGTGCCATCTCGCCGTCTTGTGCCTGTCACGAGGAATGCTACGGGCTAGCATGCCGTGTAAGGGGGAGCAAGTTTTTCTTACGAGGCTTGCTTCAGGAAGAATCATTGGTACTCTTCATCTTGCATAATTTGGTGGAGGAGGTCGGCTCGCAGCAAGAGGGAGGAGAGTACAGTGTGTCCCATGAGATGGGAGGACGAATGGAGGGAGATAAGGAGGGAAGTGATATTCAGGTTCTCAGCTCGTATCCAGTGCGTTTGTTTTAAGAAAGGTTTTGCGTCATCTTATCGGGACAACATCGGGCTTCTTCATCAGCATGTTCGTCAGCGACAACTTTATCATCAGCTCGTAAGAGGGCATCTTCATCACCAGCTTCGGTTTTATCATTGCCGTCATCATCATCGGCGGTTGCCATCATCATTATTATCATCATCATCATCATCATCATCATCATCATCATCATCATCGTCATCATCATCATCGTCATCATCATCATCTCACCATCATCATTATCATCATCAGCATCATCGTCATTATCATCATCATCAACATCATCATCATCATCAACAGCAGCAACAGCACTACTGACATCATCATCATCGTTATGAGCATCTTCATTGGTGCGCCATCATCATCATCATCATCATCATCATCATCATCATCATCATCACCATTATGAGCATCATCATCTTTGGTGCGTCATCATCATCATCATCATCATCATTATGAGCATCATCATCACTGGTGTGTCATCATCATCATCATCATCATCAACATCAGCATCTTATTTCCTATTTTATTAATCGGGAAGGTGTTTTTTAAATACCTAGATTTCTTATTAATGTACGCTTCGATATGGTATTTTTGAATACCAAAGTTCTAATTCATTTTAGATTAATTTTTCCTTGTTTACTTCTTCATATTTCATAGTTCTCTATGAATGAGATTTTCATAATCCTATTGCGTTATTAACTAATTATCTTCAACTAAAAAAAAAAATAGAATCATTTCAGTAGTGATTTCGTTGGTGATCTTGCTAAGTTATGTTTCAATCATATGGGAGTTCACTTTCCTCCCTGGATGGATGATGACGGTTGTTTCGAAGTTCGTGGTACGGGTGGAAAGGTGGGGAGAGCAGTACTTTGCAGGGGTGTCACAAGGAGGGAGGTGGCGCTCTGAAGAGGGTGTGTGCAGAAGTTGAGGGTTGCTCTATTCTGGGATTGGGGTGGATAGCCTCAGCGGGGGCAGAATAGGGTAAGGGGTTCGCAAGGGCATTCTTCTGGTGGGAGCTGAATGTCTCTTGGATTATAGCGAGGAAGAGAGGGGCTGTTCCAAGTTGGGGCTGAAAAGGAGGTCCTACATTGGAGGACTGTTTTCGGCGGAGGCAACAAAGGGACARAGGGGTAATGAGTAGAGGAGGGAGGGGAGSAAACTWTCAAAGTTTAAATTAACATATCTTTATTCACAAAAAAAAGAAAGAATTCCACAGTCTTCATTGATGCTATATCAAGCTTTTTGGTGTTCGGTAATTCTTGGCGGCATCTGGCCTTCTTCCTCATTCGGGATATAGGATTTCAGAGATGGTCGAATCTGGACTGATTTTCGCAGAGTTGCTCTGTTCTATGCCTCTGGTTTGCCGATGCCAGAACGACGCTGGCCGGAGCTGGGGTGTTGCCCTGTAATCTGCAAATTGCAGGAGTGTGAGGCCTTGTAGAGAGATCTGGGTTTTGCTGAGGGAGGAAAGCAATTCAGTGGTGAACTGGGGGGGGCTGCCTTGACAACCTATGGGTCCAGGGATAGTCTAGGTGGCGAGAACAGGTCAGCTATGGTTGACATTGGTTAGGATGGCATTGTCTTTGAGATGTAATGTCCTGGTACAGGGAGGGTTAGGAGTTGTTATAGGATTAGGAGGCTAGAATTGCTGATATAACATAGTCTTCTATAATTTTACATACTAATCATCATCATCATCATTATTTTCATCATTAAAAAAAAATAAAAAAATTCATCATCATCATCATCATCATCATCATCATCATCATCGTCATCACATCACCAGTATCATCATCTGATTATTGTTATATTACGCTTTTTGGTGTTCTGAAATTTTGGCAGCATCTAGCATTCTTCCACATCCGGGATATAGGACTTCAGAGATGGTTGAACCTGGACTGATATCTACTGAGTTGCTCTGTTCTGTGCCCTTGGTTTACCGATGCCAGAACGACGCTGAGTTGCTCTGTTCTGTGCCCTTGGTTTACCGATGCCAGAACGACGCTGGCCGGAGCTGGGGCGTTGCCCTGTAACCTGTAAATGGCAGGAGTGTGAGGCCTTGTAGAGAGATCTGGGGCTTGCTGAGGGTGGAAGGCATTCCAGTGGTGAACCGGGGGGGGCTGCAAGGAGGCGAGAAGAGATCAGCTATGGTTGATGTTGGTTAGGTTGGTTTTGTCTCTGAGGTACAGTGTCCTGGTACAGGAAGGGCTAAGAGTTGTACTAGCATTAGGAGGCCAGAATAGCTGATATAGCATAATATTTGATATTTTTTCATATATTTGAATCATCATTTTCATTGGCATCATTATCATCATGGTCATCATCATATCCATTTGAGGGATACTGAGCCCGGTTCTCAGTAGTTTCGGTTCGATCACTCTGGGCAGACTGTGAGGACCCCGGCCTCAATCTTATTATTGGTAATATCAGCCTTGGGCACCGGGCCCGGTTATTAAAAAGAAAAAAAAAAAAAAGAATTGATATCTTGGGATCAAATTGTCCGTCACAACATCCCTCAAAATTGGAACGATACAGAGAAGATTATCATGGCTCCTGCGCAGGGATGACACACATAAATTGGGAGATGGTCCAAATTTGAAAAAATAAAATAAAAAATTATTGGGACCAAAGGTGCATAGTACTGCATACCTCTCCTGGTCCTGCGTAAGGGGTAGTAAACCGGAAAACTTTTGGAGGGGTTCCTGTTGATGAAAACACATGCACAGACAACAGAAGGCTCAGCCACATGACTGTTACCCAGATTCCATAGTTCTCATAGGGGTTTATGTGGTACTATTTCAAGGATAACGGCCAAGGCTGCTCTTGTCAGACTCCCCAAAACACCAAAATATCTGGACTGTGACAAGTCTGACTACCGTATTACGAGTCCGACAACCATATTACCTTTACGAGCCACAATATCTAACGTGATTCTGTATTAGTAACAGCTGTCATGTTAATAACTTCTAGAAAAGTTTGCTTTTTCTGCTAAGGCTTCACTGACTATAAGTCCTTCACATAAACACCATAAGCTGGTAGTTTTCTACTTTGTTTGTTTTGAGCAGCAGAGTGCTAGAACAGATTGGCAACTTAGCACATACTTTAGGACAAATTTGCTTGACTCTTCAAGATTGACGTGCAACTTTTTTTTTGAATGTTTTCTCCGTTYTTTTTTTCYTKYTTTTTTTTTTTTTTTTTTTTTTTTWTAAARAAAAAACAGAACCTCAAGGTTCTGGCTCCTACCATTCCGGGGAGCGACAGTCCGGTTCCTATTCCCCCGGCAAGTCAATATAGAATACATAAAGGACTCACGCACGCTCCTCCCCATTATGGTTGAGAGGTCCGAGTGGGCGGCATTGATTACTTCCTCGAGGAAGGATGTACCACCTCTCACCCCTGCCTAATTTAGCCTATACTTGCTTGGCTGTCAATCTGTCTGTTCCCGGAACTGCTCCTCTCAGCTGAGTCGCTGTCACATATCCGTGATTATACTAGAGCATTCTGGAACATATATGCATTTACTAGACACTTTTTTGGCTCTATGACAGCATTAAGATTGTTCCTGTCTTAACCTTAAAACCCTAAACCCTAGGTCTAGATGCTGTCCTGATTTGTCGGTGATTGAAGTTCACGATAGAAAATAATTCTCCTAAGTCTGTCACTGTTGTCCCTCAAGAAGCCGACCGGATGCACTTTTAGCTCGAGAAAAAGCAGTCCGAATGCTTGTTTGTCGGACCTCCACCTTGGAATTGTTAAGAAAACCTGTTGCTTAAAGAAGTTTATATGAGGATATCCATGGTCAGCCCTGATCTTTTGTCCACACTCGGTTCCCTCCTTCCTGTCTTGTTACCTTGTCCCTGTGTTGTACTCTGTTGCCCCTCATCTCCTCTTGCAGTCGAGATGTGCCAGTCCTTCCAACATATGTTGTCATCCCTCAGTTCAGCCACTTTGTCGTCGATCAACCAGATTTTACTGAAACTCCGTCTGGCTATGTTTCGTTGCTCCTCATCTTCAGACCATGACTGTTTGATTTTCCGCCATCTGCACAGAATCTCCGCCTGAATCATTGTTTTCGTCTCCGCCCAAACCGTTTCAGGAGTATTGGATGTTTCTTCGATTGTTCTGCTGCATCTCTCCTTCCATATGACCCAAAGGGTCACTTTCCTGATCATCCCGAACCATACTTTTTCCACTTTCCGGAGTTGTTGGGGAATGTTAATAAGAAGAAGGACTTGGATGGGTTTTTCAGGGAAAGGGACAGATAGAAGGGAATTCCAGAGGGTCACGGCTTTTRCCCAACACTTTTTCGCCTCCCTACAGTGAACTAAGCAATGYGTTATGTCTTCAGTTACRTTCTCCGTGCACACCTTACATGTGTCAGAGCTGTCTGGGTTGGAACCTTTCCGCCTGATATGTAACCATTGATTGACTGGCAGGGCTGCGTATGTAATTAGCCATTGGAAGCTTCTGATTTTGATAGGTCTGATTGCTTTGTAGGTTTTCCACGGAATTCGCGTGATGCTGTCGGCTTCCTGACCTACCAGTCTTTGCCACCTGGATTTGATAACCGGTTCTGGGTCTTTTGTTTTTAACATTAGTTTATAACCTAGTTTGACCGTGTAGTCTTGTATGGGTGTGCGTTTATTAACGTTTGCTTTCTTGTCTGGTTTCCATGTCCACTCCCCTGGGTCGAATTCCAAGTTACGCAGTGCCGTATCAGATCTGTATATACTTTACGGCCACGTCCCTAAAACTCTTACTTTCCTGAGCAGGAAGCTTTCCATGACTACAGTTTCTACATTGGTGTTTAAGATCGATGGCATTCCATCTCTGGAGTGTGTAACTGGAAAAGAGGTGAACACGGCTTGTGTAGTCGTACCTTGTTGTGGATGTGAGAACTGAAAGGCCCTTGCCGGAGGGTTTTCCTGCACCTTGATACCCCAGTCTCCACCTTTCCAGTCCCCTTCCTGTGCCAGTATATCCTTCCAATCCTGAGGGATCAGATTAATGATATACTGTCGGTTCAGGCCTCTTCGGTGGCAACCTTTCAAACATCTTTCCAGGTCCTGCTCCGTTACCCAATCATTTTTTTCTTCGTTCCACAAGTGGCTAATCCTCCATATTCCGTTCTTTACCCATGACAGCCATTTGTGGTCTAGAAACAAGGGTTCGTCACTTTCGAATCTCAGCCATTCATTACCAAAAAGAGGTTGTCTTAGTACCTCATCTTTGGATTTCGGTCGACTGGTCTTTTTCGGCATTATTTCCCTCCAAATTCGGATTATGGCAGTCCAATACAGGGTTTGCCCGTTGGCGGGCTCCTGATCTGTTCTTCTCTTGGATCTTCTTCTCGTGTTTTTCAATGACCATTCCTTGTTCATTACCCAGAATAACCCTGGCATGTTACTCGGTGATGGTACCGGGGCTAGCTCCCTAATGCTGTCCAGGGCCAGTTTGTTCCACGCCGTGTTTGGCTTCATTAGCAGCCGGATTATCCATTTGACTTGAAGGGCTCTTGTTTCACACTTAGGGTCAATTACGCCTAAACCCCCTTGTATGGGCTTTCTTGAGATGTAGTGCCATGCTATTTTGGGGATACAACTCCCCKTGTTTGGGTTGCCCGTCCAGAGGTATGTTCTTGCTACCCGATTTCGTTCCTTTAGAGAGTCGTCTGGGATTGTCCATATAGACGCAATGTACCACATCATGGAAAACACTGAAGTGTTAAGCGTTAAAACCCGGCCAAACAATGAGGTAAAAGTATCGCCCCATCTTACCATCTTGATTAGCTGTTTTGACAGCACATTCTGGGCCATCTGGGGCGCTAGCCTGTCCCTTGTCAAGAGGATGCCAAGATATCGCGTAGGGGTTTTCGGAGTTTCCCAGGTCATGTCARCCTCCTGACCTTGTAAATTCGGGAATGGTTYRTCAGACAACCACCAGCCTATAGTCTTTTTCCAGTTGATTCTAATTTCTGATGCCAATCTGAAAGCTTCCATTGACCTGGACAGTGCTTGGAAAGACGAGTCTGATGCTCTAATCAGCACTGTCATGTCATCTGCGAACAAAATGACTGTCGGAAAGCTGTAATGGTGCGTTGTTCCTACATTAACTTCTGGGAGTCTATGAATGGACGGGTCCTTCCGTAGAAAGGAGGCAATGGTTTCCATGACAAAGAGGAAGATTGAGGGAGCAAGCGGGTCACCTTGCCTTACTGACCGTGGGATTGGGTAATCGTCAGATAAGAAGCCATTAATCTGCACACAACCAGAGGCATCGTTGTATAAGGTCTGGACCCATTTCCTGAATATTGGTCCCACCCCCATGCGTTCCATGCTAGCGTCCATAAAGGCCTAGTTGACTTGATCATAGGCTTTCTCAAAGTCGAAGAAGAGTATAGCTGTGTTGATTCTCTTTTGCTTGACTTGTTGGCTGCTTCATTTAAAGTGAGCACGTTGTCAAGTATGTAGCGTCCAGGGATAAACCCTGTCTGGTCTATGTGAAAGCATTTGTCCGTTATCTTCATGATTCTGCCCGCCAGGGCTTTTGCCAGGATTTTGTATGGGAGGGTAAGTAGGGAGATAGGTCTGTAGTTCTTAATGTCCTCCTTGTCACCCTTCTTGTATAGTAGCGTGACCACACTGCTACTAATTGTGCTGCCCAGGCCGCCTTTTTCGAAACTGTCTTTATAGAAGGTCAAAAAGTCCCCTCCTAAAATTGGCCAGAACTTTTCCCAGAACTCTTTAGTTAATCCGTCTATGCCTGGTGACTTGTCGTTTCTCATACTTGTGAGGGCTAGTCGGAGTTCGTCTAATGAAAGAGGTTTATCCAAATCTTCTGCTTGTTCTTTCGATATTGACTGTTCCAAATATTGCATCATTCTTTGTCTTGCTTCGGGGTCAGTGTTTGAGTCTTGGTCTGATATAATTCCTGATAGAAATCCTTTGCTACTATTAAAATTTCTTCGCTGGTCTCCACTGTTGCCATTGAGTTGTGAAGGGTCTTAAGTTTTTCTATTGTAGCCATTCTTGTGTTTGCCTTGATTCGTGAGAAGAAATATTTGGACATCGATTCATTGAGCTCATATTCACACATTCTGGCCCTTATTTGCAGGCCCTTTAGCTCCCATCTTTTCCATATTGCTAATTCTTCTCTTGCTTTTTCAAAAATGCCAGTGTAGAGTGTTGAAGACGGATTATCTCTCAGATTGTGTTCAGCTATCTTTAGTGCCTCCTCCAGGCTCTGCTTTCTCTTTTTCCTAATCGAGGCCAGTCTCCTCGATATGCATGCCACTTCGTTTGCTAGAAGGGAATAACTTTTTATGAACCATTCCCTCCTGTCCATAGTAGGTAGGAGGCTCATGCGTCTTTCTTTCCAAAAAAATTGTGTTTCTTCTTGAAATAATTGGCTCAACAAGAGAGAGTTGTTCAATTTGTGAAAGCATGTGCCTTTACTTACTCGTTATTTGAAGCATATGATGATTTCTATGGGCTTATGATCCAGTCCTGAGTAGGGTGCTAGTGGTAGGATCTCCGCTTGTTTTACTGCCCCCATCATTGTCCCAGACACTAGGAAGTAGTCCATTCTCGAGAAGGCAGTGTGATTGGCATGGTTCTTTTTAACCAGAGTAAAGGATTTCGTTGTAGGATGCATTGTTCTGAAAGGGTCAATCAATCCATGGTCTATCATCATTCATTGGATTGGTGATGCCTCGTTTACATTATGCGGTTATGTGGAGCGGGATATTCGATCTGTTCCAGGGTCGAGGGTAACATTCCAATCCCCTGCTAGTATGCATGGTACCAGGGGAGGGAGGTCATTGCTCAGTCTCGCCAGAAAAGCCGCTCTTTCTGTTGAGTTATTCGGTGCATATACATAGACCAGGCGAAATTCTTCCTCCTTCCATTTGAGGTGCATGTAACACCATCTTCCTTCTTGAAGGTCTGCCCCTTTGTTTACTACGCTCCCTGTCGTGTAAAAGCGGGATGATTTAGGGATTAGGATCGCTGTTCCTTTCATATTGGAATTGACATCTGCTGCCCATACTTCGTCTTTTATGCCACCCAATTTCCTTGCCATGAATTTCCTGATCTTGTCATGATCCGGTGAGAAAGATAGATGAGTTTCTTGAAGCATTATGATATCCGCTTTTAATTTGTTGTTCAATGTTAGTCCTGAAAAGATATCATTCCATTTTTCCTCCTTCTCCATCACGTTACCCAGCCCATTGATATTCCAACTTCTGATCACAATCCCTTGGTCCTTCCAATCCTCCAAAGCCCTCCTAACATTTGCCCGTCTCCTGAACTCATCCATATGGGCTGCATTACATGACCTGACCAGAAAAAGATCATGTTAGGATCATTCTAGACCAGATGTTTCACCCCCCGTATCTTCTCCCATGCCCTTTGGTTTCCTCCATCCCTGATACTAGATCCTCTGTACCAGGGCAACTTTCGCTCTCAAGGTTGGGCTTGACGCCCCCGAGTCCTTGCTCTTCGTCCTCATTTTCACCATCCCCTTGCCAACCTTGTGATTCCTCATCTGAGCCATCACTCCTGTAAAAAATTTCCCAGTCCGCAGGGTAAGCTACTGTCTCCAGATCTCCGTCTCCCACCAGCATGCCTGAAGTTACCAGGTGCGCAATCGATACTGTTGTCAATTTTGCCGGCAGGCAGGGCCCTGCCAGGACACTGTGCGGCACTGCTGTTATCGTCCGCCAAGGTCTCCATCTCATTCCTGATTTCAAGCTTGTTGTCGTTGACAACTTGACAATCAGTGGAGAAAAGGCTTGAGGAGGGTGTCTGGTTTGTTCTGCCCTGTGTGGTGTTGGGTCTTCTTGTTCAGTTTGAGGCTGTGATTCTTGATGGAGCATCTCATGTGGCACCGTGTCATATACACCAAGCGGGTAGTCTGTCGTGACCTTCTCCCTGAGGAAGTCTGCCACGTTTTGGCCTTCCTCAAAGCATGGAATTTGGAAGGAGACATCTGTTGCCACCTGCCATTCCTTTATTTTGTCCATATATCTTGCCACGACCAAAGGCCTGATGTTCATGAGTGTCAATCGAGATGAATGGGCCGTTTCCACTATCAGGGGTGCCTGGTTGTTGGCGATGTGCGAGATCGTAGTGAATTCGGGTGCATACTCTTCATTCAGTTTCTTGAGCTTGTCCGCCTGTGCCATAATTGCTACCGCTTCTTGCTCCAGCCGTGTTTGTCCTGAGTCATCATGAGAATCCGCAGGTGTTGTGTTTGACATTCTCTTTTTCTGATTCTTCCCCGACTTCCATACTTTCGGGCGCAGATCCTGGAATTCGTCCTTGGACTCTGGAACTGTTTTGTCCTTGTCTTTCACCCCCAGTTCCCTTGCTCTCTTCTTTTCTGCATATCGAAAAGCGGTGTATTCTGATAACTCCTCGGCTTTGACCTTCCTGAGTGCATCAAACTGGTTGTTGGAGGGGCCCCATGCACCCAGCATCCAAAAGTGTGCTCCCTTTCCCTTTTGACTCTATCTACATACTCCCTGAGCCATTTCAGTGTTTGCCCATGTCCCTCTTCACTGTCATTCTTTGAACTCCCCCTCCCTGAGTCGCCACCTTCCGTGCCTTGTTCTGATTCTGTACCCCTCTCTTCTGTTGCCTTGTCCTCTCCCTCTTTCCCTATGGGGTTATTGGTTGAGGGTTTGCTTGCCCCAGTTTCTGTTTCTCTTCTCTTTTTCAGCCCCCCTCCTTGTTTCTCTTTGTCCCCTTCGTTCTCCAAGGAACGCTTGTTGTCAGTTTGCCCCTCTTTCTTTTTTTGGAGCTCTGTTTGTTCCATGTTTTGCAGCAAGAATCTTACCGTGTCTGGTTCTTTATTAAATTCTTGCACAGCCTGTTCTCTGATTGTGTCCAGGTCCCACAGGAAATCCTCTCTGTCCTTTTCTTCCCTGATCACTCGTGAATCAATCAGGAGATCGGTCCTTATCTTTGAGGGATTTGCTGTCATTTTCCTAGTGGCCTTTTTCTGCCATCCGCTGTCGGCTGAGGGGAAAATGTTCGGTTTTTTAACCGTCGGTTCCTGGTCCGCGTGGTGCCATACCCAGTCAGGCTCTTCCAAGTTGTCATAAAAAACCCAGCCATTGTAATTACTATCTACAATGAACCAGATCCCAGGTGCATCCTCCACCTCGACCATCATGTTAGGTAGCAGCTTGCGTTCTTTTGTTTGTTTGGGGAACTTTGGACAGTTTGAGTCTGTTCCCATATGACCCTGTTCTCTACACCGAAAGCAGATTGGATCGGCCTTGGTTGATACCTTGATTTCGACCACTCTGTTTTCGATCTGTAATTTCCATACGTGCGGGAAAACGGGCGGATTGTCTGTCTTGACTTCCAGCACTGCCGTCATAGAGCCACAGTGTGGAGCCAGGAAATCGGGGGTTGGTAGAATCCATTTGAGGATTCTGTTTGCTGGGTACTGCCTCTCCAGCCTGTCCACCAAAAGCCCATGGAAACCCGGCTGGATGTTGTCAAACTGAACCCAGAAGTTGTATTTTCAATAAAGTTTGTTTGTAGGAGACAGTAAAGACCGGGTTTTGCCTTTGCATCGTCACTTTCTTCCATTTGGCGATTGTGCAGACTGGACCGTTGCAGTTCCTGGATTGCAGTTCAGCCGCGGACTTTGCATGTTCCTCATGGATGAATAGTGCCATGATGTTGTTTCTTCCCAAATTCTGTAGCGTGAAGGTTTCCCCCGAATGCTTTAGCTTCAGATCTTTCTTAATGGTGTCTATGACCCATTTGCGTTTTTCCGCTGGCTGAAGCTCTGCCCCGTTCCGTGCAAAATTGAAGACTACCCCATGACGTTCATGCAAGTCGTCTAATTCAGCCACCTTCTCTTCTGGGTATTTTCATACTATGATTTCTTCTTCTTTACCTTCAGTCTTCTGCGTTTCGATGGTTTGTATCCCTTGCACCTCCGTCTTGTCTATCAGAAACTTCAACGCCTCATTGTCAATCACACTGATGATTCTTTCTCCCAAGTTTTGGTTCGCTGTACCTGTATTTTGTGTAGGGGAAGCCATCTGCTTCCGCTACTGGGACGTTGGTACCTCACCGTTCTCAGAGGAAGGCGGGCCAGATGGGAAGAGGGGTGGGGGAGAAAAAAGGGGGGGGAGTGATCAGGGCTGGTGTTGAGCGAAATGGCCCGAGACGGGATCGAGATGGGGACCGGATCTGTCAAAGGTCAGTGATTGAGGATGTGAGCTGGAGTATGAACTGAAGACAGGGGAACAGAAGGGGCTGAATAATGAAAACGGTAGACTGGTGACGTGGACTTGTGTTGTGGCGTGGAAATGTATTGCTTAGATTTTGAATAAAATTTTGACAGCGTTTTCCCTCCCCTCTTGGGGATCAGTTGGGTATATGAGCAGGCCGTCAATTTATGATCAAAATCTAGCCATTAAATCAGACACGTTTTCAGATCCGTTTTCCTTGCGACATGGATGCCTAACTAGATCTTAAACATCCATGTGTGACAGGCACCGGAAGGAGGGGGAGTGGGGGTGAGAAGAAACGAACTAAAGTCAGTGTGGGAGAGGGGTAAAGAGTCGGGATCGGAGTTGATTCGAGCTCGGGGTTGATGACTGGGACAGAAGCGGGGTGAGTACCAGGTTTGGGATCGGACTGAGGTGGGAGTGTAGTCAAGTGAGAGAGCGGGTAGGAAACGGGTAGGCTGTTGAAGCACGGGCGAGGGGCGAAGGTGGAATAGGTGTGGGGTATTGGAATAAAAGTTGGGGATGAGATAGTCCAGATCGGTACTGAGGGGTGGGAAGTTCGATGGGGGCGTGTTGATAATACTTGATATAGGTAATGATGCTGAGATTGGGGCGAGAGAGTGGAATGATCAGCGGGGGGGAGGAATCGGGATCGGGGTTGAGGTATAGGGGATAAGAAGGGAGAAAGTCGGTATGAGACTGGCGGTGTAGTAATATGTTGATTGGATTTTGAAGAAATTTTGACAGCGAATTCCCTCCCCTCTTGGGGATCGGTTTTATATAGATGCTGGCCGTTAATTTGATGAAAGTCTAATACTTAGATCAGATAAGTTATCCCCTGGAGCATTGCTATCTGACTAGATATTTGACATCCATGTAGCCCAGACTCGGGGAAGCGGGGGGGTTGGAGGTGAGAAGAAACAAAATAGAATCAGTGTGGGACAGAGATGGAGAGTCGGGATCGGGGTTGATTCGGGATGAGGGGTGGGGACCAGGTACGGGTTCGGGCTGCAGTGGGATTGAAGTCGAGAGAGATATCGGGTGGGTACGGGTAGGATGCTGGGACCAGGTCGATGGGCTAAGGCGGGATAGGTGCGAGATTCTAGATTGGAAGTTGAAAGATGGGGGCGAGACTTTCGCGATCAGTACTGGCGGGTGGGAAGTACGATGGGGGCGCGATACAAGAGACTGGTTGGCGGGGGGGAGGAAACGGGGCTGAGATATGTGTCGTAAGAGAGGAGATATTCGGAATGAGATGGGATAGAATGAAGTTGAGTTAGGTCCGAAACGGAAGAGGGGCGTAGGCGGGGACCAGGGGGGGGCAAGGAGGGGGTGAAAAAGAACGAGACTTGTTGATGCTGGATGGGATGATCGGGGCAAGGGCAAAGCCCGGTGGCGAAGGCGGAATGTATGCAGGGGACTGAATTAATCGATGGGGAGATGGGAGTCAAGATCGGGACTGAGAGGTGGAATGTATGGTGGGAGCGAGACTGAGTAGGTGATGGGGTCGGGATAGGGACTACGGTATGGGTTAGCCAATGGGAAGGAGGAGATCGGGGTGAGAGCAGAAGTAGAGGAGCTCAGAAGAGATAGGGGTGGTGTGAGAGTGGGGTCCGGGATCCGAATGGGGATGGGATCTGGATGGGATTGGACATGGAGTGGGTGAAAGTCAGGACCGGGGAAAGGGGATGACGAATGGGTTGGAATTGGAAGGGTGTCGACCTAGGTGATGGGGTCGGGATAGGGACTACGGTATGGGTCAGCCAATGGGAAGGAGGAGATCGGGGTGAGAGCAGAAGTAGAGGAGCTCGGAAGAGATAGGGGTGGTGTGAGAGTGGGGTCCGGGATCCGGATGGGGATGGGATCTGGATGGGATTGGACACGGAGTGGGTGAAAGTCAGGACTGGGGAAAGGGGATGACGAATGGGTTAGAATTGGGAGGGTGTCGACCTAGGGATGGGGTCGATGGTATGGCGAAGGTGATGGTTCCGGTGGATTGGGCTATGGTCGGTTCAGTGATAAGGGCGGGAGGGACGAGACGAGATGGAGTGGAGGTTAGTGTTGGCGGGTCTCACTCCGGTTGAAACTTGGTCTTCAGCGATAGATGTTCAGACGTGGCGAAGAAAGATGTTGGGAAGCCCTTCTTCGTTCGAGCGGCAGGCGGCGCTTCGATATTCCAAGAGATGGCAGTTCGTGCGGTACAGACGAATTTCAAAACGAGCGTAGTCCCTCACAGCGTACATCTCGGACAGCCAGAGCTTTCTCCACATGGAGTTAACAAGATCGTGCGTTTTTCGACATAGAATTCCATTCCCATGGCTGACGTCAAGAACAGTACGCGTGCCGGGCGCGCGCACTTAGTGTCCAGTGTGTGTTGGGCTATGGCGGGTGTGTACTCTCCGGCGATGGTCCGAATCGACACCCCTGCGGGGCCAGGAGGCAGCGCGACGTCCCTGTGGGGCCAGGAGACGTCGCGATGCGAGCGCAGCGTTGCGCTAACCGAACAGCGCTAACGCAGCAATTTTTTCCAATTTCTTATGCTTCTCATTTTTCTTGCTTTTTCTATATACCCTATAAACCAACACCGCCCTCCTGCAGACTCGGCGGCGAACTGCCCTTCCACTAAGATGCGATATCCCGCCCTCCCCTATCCTAAGCATGATGCCTTCCTACCCCAGGCTCCCCAAGAATCCACAATCCCAACTAATTCCTCCAAGGAGAATTCCCACGGACCCCAACCTGGATGAAGATACCTGTGGGATGAGAAGTACCCAGTACCTACCCCATACTAACACCCAGTGTGTGCATACGATTATCCCCCCCGAGATGGGCCCTACCATAGTCTAAGTTCGCTTTGTGTGGACTCTCGTACGGGTGCCATAGTGACCGGAAACATGCTAACTCCAGGTTGTACCCCCACGGACTAGTACATAATGGCGAGACTGACAGATCGGAGGGTCCAAGTGGCCATGCAGAGGTATTGACGGTTTCAACAGTTTTGACAGTTTTGGTGGTTATCGACAGCGTAGGCATTTTTTGGGTTATCGACAGTCTAGGCCGTAAACCCTACTGCCTTTTACCCTAACCTATCCCTTCCTCCCCATGGTGGAGCCAAGATAAGACCATGATCCTCGGACCCCCTAAGACCAAGCACTCAAGCAGCCCTCCATGTGGCCCTACCCAACATACTACAACCGTGGACCTAGACCCCTTGGCCGGTGCGCAGGCAGTGTCTGTATAAATCTTACCATCCGTCGTCCCAAGGGGTGTGTGCGAATGGCTTGTGCGTTATGAAAGCACTTACCGGCATGCGTGCGCGAGGCACCGGAGTTTTGAACCCGCAACCTCATACCACAATGTGCATTTCCAACCGGTGCTCTAACCACTGTGCCAACGACCATCCACCAGCGGTTTCTCTTTCCGAACCTTCCATTTTCTTTTCCCACTGATATTCCCCCTGCATACTGCTCTGGGCTTGACCAGCCTGTTCCTCCCCCTGATCCATTCCCCTAACATTTGGCTTGACTGAGTCCTCTCACTTTCTTGTTCTCCCAGCCCTGTCCCTTCCGTACTCACCTTCCTTTTGAGGGAGGTAGCTATGCTCATACTCTCCCCTTCATCCGTTTAACACTCCATGCTTTATCCATGTTTGCCTATCTGGCTCTCCTCGCCTGACCCCTCCCTAGCTCGTAGATTTTTCAAAAATTCCTTCCCTGCTATCTCCCCGACCTTGTGCAGCTCCTCCATCATCTGTAATCTTTCTTTCCAAAAAAAAAAAAAAAAAAGGAACCTTAGGGTTCTGGCTCCTTTTCCATTCTGGGGAGCATCTGTCCGGTTCCAAACATAGGTCGAGGCCGGGGACCTCACAATTCAAACCGGGGTTATCCTGGGAACCTTACCCAGTTTCGCTTACGAGCCTCCGCTCGCGACAGAATCCTGTCTGTCCCAGACTTTCTACTCGTCCTCTATCCTGATGTATCCTACCGGAAACCATTGCTTAAACCCTAAGACCCTGGGGTCCGGCTCATGCCTGCTCCTCTATCCCGAAGTATCCTACCAGAAACCATTTCTTAACCCCTAAAATCCTGGGGTCCGGCTCGTGCCTGCTCCTCTCAGCTGTAAGGCTGTCAGCTTGGCTTATTT